ACGAGGTCTCGGTCATCAATTCTCACCTATTGCAAGACATCTATAAGTGTGTCATGGTTTACTCGATCAAAGGCCTTTTCGAAGTCGATAAAACACACATATACCAATTGTTCGATATCCCTATATCTTTGAACCATGATCTGCAAACTGAAGAGTGCTTCTCTGGTTCCAAGGTTGTTTCTAAAACCAAATTGTGTTTCACTTAGTTATATTTCTATTTTGTTGTAAATTGTCGAGTGCAATATTCTTAGGAACATTTTCAGTACATGACTCATCAAACTGATAGTCCGAGAATCGCTACACTGTTTGGCATTTATTTTTTTCTGTATCATTACAAATGTTGACAGTAGCCAGTCTGTTTGTGTGTTCTGTTTCGTATATTTTATTGAAGAGGCTTAGAAGAGAACGTTTACCCTTATCGTCGAGTAGTCTGATTATATCTGGACCGGTTGTTTCCCTATTCTCTGATAGTTTTATAGCTCTTTCCATTTCATCGAGTGTTATGTTTGGACCAGTAGATATATTTTCGATTTGAATTTCTATTCTATCGTCACCAAACAGCTCCTCGATATATTCTTTCCACCTCTCTAATATGTCTTGTTCATTGACTATAATATTTCCTTATTTATCAAGTAAACTAGTTGCAGTTGATCTATATGTTCCAGTTATTTCTTTCACCTTTTTGTTCAAATTAAACGTATCATTCTTTTTCTGCAGTTCTATTTCAAGACATTTGTTGCTGTACCATTTTTCTTCTGAATCCTGATTTTGCTTCTGCTTTCTTTATGGATTTTATTATATTCTTCAGTGTTTTTATTTTTTTGTTTTCGCCTGCTTTCCATTAGTCCCAATATTTCATTAGTCATTCATTGTTGTTTACGCTTATTAATAGTTTTATACTTTTTACTTATCTCTTGCATAATGGTTTTGACATTATTCCAGTGGTCTTTGACGTTATGTGTTTCTTCCGATTTTTCGAACTTCTTTTCTATCTCGTGCGTAATTTCGTGATTATTTTTATGACTGAGATATAGGTCATCAAAACTGTACTTGTAAAATGAAAGAATAATTATTTTAAATTAAAAAAAACTTTTCCAAGTGCACAAAAACGCAGTAACTAATGAGTACTAGAAAAATCTAAATATAAAAAAGTCGATGATTTTCTGCATAACAAGAAATGTAAATATGCTTGGTTACACTGAAGACAAAAAGTTAAAACTTGTTTAGTTTCTTCTTATCATTCATTTTAAGTGTCTTTTAATTTAGTATAACACCCATAACAGCGTTTCTGATATGTATTCTTGTTATTCTTATCTCTAGGTAACTTTTCTAGTTTGTGACATCCTTACTCATTGGTTTTCTACTTTTTTACCTTTTTATTTGTTTTGAGACTATGAGTAAGAAGAGCAGAGGAAGAAATAGACAGATTTTACAATGAATTAGACAAAATACTGGAAAAAACCAAAAAAAGAGGAAGTTAATATTATTTTAGGAGACTTTAATACGAAGGTAGGAAAAGGAAGAAATGGAGAAGGAGTAGGCGAATATGGTCTAGAAACATGTAATGAGAGAGGTAGAGGCTAATTCAGTTTTGCAGATACAACGAACTCATTATCAAGAACACACGGTACAAACTACCAGTCGGAACAATATAAATCTGGCAAGCTCCTAGAAATAACGACAGAGATAAAAGTGAGACATAGTAAGAATCCCGATTGACTACATCATTATAAACCAAAGATCTGCATCGAGTAAAGCTTACCTAGGGGCAAATATAGCAAGTGACCACAAACTTGTTTTACCACATATGAAACTCAAACTAAAGAAAATAAAAACATCTAGAACTAATCTAAGAAAACTAAAAGAGTAACACAAGAAATAAAGTCAGTGATATCGGAAAGGAGGCAATACAAGAATAAAATCAAACAACAATACAAACGTGTAACGTTATATATTGGAAATAAGATTGAAGACTCTGAAAGGAAGATTGGAAATTTTGGATTAAGCACAAGAAGCACAAGAGGAGAAAAACTCATGGAATTCCAGGAACAAAAAAACATGTATGTTATGAATACCTTCTACAAAAACAAACCTAACAGAAAGTGGACATGGGTTACACCTAACGGAACTACCAAAAATGAAATAGACTACTTTCTCTCAAACAACAAAGAAATATTTGAATACGTCACAACAATAAACAACGTAACAACGGGTAGTGACCATCGTATAGTTAGAGCAAAAATAAATATTAACATATAACAAATAACAAAAAAAAACAACAACAAATGAAGAGAAATTTCGAGAGGTCCTAGCGGATAAGTTCGAATTTGATCCTTTACATAATCAAGATCAAATTGACGAAATTAATAAAAACATAAATAAAAACCTTCTCGCAACAGGACTACAGGTCGCAAAGAAAACAAAGACTAAAGAAGACAAAATAAACAATGAAACTAAATAACTTAATAAAACAATTAGAAAAGAACTAAAACGCGACATACAAAAATGGAACGAGAACTTAATAGAACGAGTCATTGAAAACAATAGAGGCTTAAAATGTCTAAGACCCGCACTGGGAGTTCAAAAAATCATCAAAATTAAAGACGCCAACAATAAGGAAGAGAAGAACAAATATAAAATAACAGATATTGTCGAAGACTTCTACACATCCTTGTACATCTCGCAAAGCAGCGATGATAATGAAACAACAAATGAGAACGTCAAAAGAAAAATAAAAAAACGTGGGATCAGAAGTACTACCAAATATAGAGGGATTCGAAATAGAATGAGCTTTAAAAGAGCTAAAAAATAATAAAGCTCCAGGACACGACGGTATAATTGCCGACCTCTTGAAAACAAGCAAGACATTAACAATACCTGTACTAACAGAGCTATTTAATAGATGTCTCCATAATAGCAAGATCCCTAAAGACTGGAACGAGAGTCTAGTAATACTCTTACACAAAAAAGGGGACAAAAATGTGATCAACAGAATTATAGACCTATATCGTTGCTCAGTCAAGTATACAAACTATTTATGAGAATTATTAACAACCGATTAGCCTGCAAAATAGATAATCACCAACCAGTTGAACAGGCTGGCTTCCACAAAGAAAATACTACATCAGACCATCTGCTGACAATGGGAACATTGATAGAGAAGGCAAATGAATACCAACTACCCGTATTTCTTGCCTTAGTCGACTATGCATTATTCCGATATTAACTTCTGCGGCACAAACATGGACAATCACAAAAAAGAATATGAATATACTTAGAGTCACTCAACACGCGATGGAAAGAGCAATGCTAGGTATATCACTTACGGACAAGAAAACAAACACATGGATAAGACAGAAAACCAAAGTCACCGATGTGGTGCAAAAATCATTAAAGTTGAAATAGGAATACGCTGGACATGTAGCTAGGAACATTGAACAACGATCTAAACAAATGGCACAGATCAATTTTAACCTCGAGACCATACCAACACAAAAGACACAGAGGCAGACCTCCTATGAGATGGACAGATGATCTGAAAAGGACTGCCGGGAAAAATTGGCTACAAGTAGCGTACAATAAAAAACAATGGAAAGGAAGACTTAAACAGGCTTATGTTCAGATGTGGACGTGAATGGCTAGACGAAGAAGAAGAAAAAGAGTCGACTATGAAAAGGCGTTTGATAGTATCAAGGTGTGAGCCATAGAACAAGCTATTAATAATTGTAGAATAGATTCGAGATATAGGCAACTAATACATAATATATATAAAAATGCAACTATGATAGTATAACTAGACGAAAATACAAATCCCATCCCCAGTAAGAGAGGAGTAACACAAGCAGACGTAATATCGGCAAAGCTTTTCAACCTAGCCCTAGAAGACGTCTTCAAAACTACAAATTGGTCAACCTATGGCATTAACTTTAATGGCAACAAGTTAAACCACCTCAGATTCGCTGACGACATAACGAGCACATTCGAGGAACTTCAAATTATGATGGGGGAACTAGCAGGCAGCTTCCAATACATCGGCCTAAAAATGAATATGAAAAAAACAAAAATAATGAAAAATAAACATAAATAATAAAAAATAACTATAGTAAAGAGAACCAAAGCGCGGAAATTATCAGAACAGCAAGACTAGCATGGGCAGGATTTGGAAAACTTAATTGGATACTTAAGAACCGCAAAATACCCCAATACTTAAGGAGCAAAGTGTTCAACCAATGCATTCTTCCTATCATGACATATGGATGTCAAACCTTTCCTATCATGACATATGGATGTCAATCCTGGACCCTAACCAAGGCAAACATGAATAAACTAGCCACAACAGAAAGAACAATGTTGCAGCGCGAATGGTTTCTATCGCAATCTAAATTAATATCGCTAAAACCAGAAACACGGCAGTGGAAAACTAGTGCTAGTACTAGTACACGGTTTATTCAAACGGTTCTAAAACGCGCCTAGGTGTAGGACACACTAAGATCACAGATCACACACTCTTATTAAATTACCAAAGGTCAATCAATATTTTGTATCAGATTTAAAGTTTTGTTTACGTAGTAACGCCGCTAATAACCTGTTGGTGGATGCGGCAATGTTTCTTTTTAATAAAAAAAATAATTATGACTCTAAAAGTTAGTATCTTCTATATTTAATGGGAATCTAAACGTCAAATATAGCGTAATTTCAATTAAAAGTGTGTTTCATCAATCAGCCAATCGCGTCCACTGCTGGACATAGGCCTCCCTCAGTTCTTTCCAGCGTTCTCTACACTGGGCCGCTTGTAACAAATGGAAACATTTGTTACAAGATAACAAACTTTATTTAATGGAAATCAAACACACAAAAGTGTGTTTGATTTCCATTAAATAAAGTACATGATAAAGAAACACCACAAAAAAATTGTTGCTGAACTGTAAGGTTGGTATCGAATTAATAAAATATATTTGTAGTAATGTTTTCGGTTTTTAACTAGATAATAACCTATATTTAAAGTGTATTCTAAGTTTTACTTGTTATTTAGAATTCAAATTGATAAGAGTATCTGAAAATACAGTTTCATTGGCACCGTTATGTTGAGACGTGGATGGCACATGAGCCATGTTTGTGCTATTATTATTTTTCCTTAATGTACCTGAATAAATCTTTCTTGCAGAAGAAGAAGCTGGTGTTAAATGATTTAAATGATAACCACGAGGTATTGTATCAGCTGGGTCAATTAATTTTGTTCCTATACAATCTTTCTCTTTTTTGCGATGATTATTTTTATGTTTCACAGCACGAATAAGGTTAGTAGTGTCTTTTTTCTTATCGGTTGCTTTTCCTGATTCTGTGCTTTTGCTTCGTACGCTATTTTTCGATTTATTTACCACTCTTCTATATTCTGGTTTATTAGTTTCTTCAGTTGAAGCTCTTTTTAATCTTCTATGGTTCCGATTGTTTTCTAAAACTAATGATTCTTCCATAGTTTCACTTTGATCTTCTAAATCTTTCACAGATGTTATAGCTCTTCTTATTTTCCTTGTTTTTCCCCCATTATTTTTAGCTTTATTTACTTTTCGTCTATATTCTGGTTGATTATCATCAGTTGAAGCTCTTTTTGATTCTCTGTGGATCTGGCTATTTTCTAAAGATACTGATTCTTCTATACTCCCATTTTGATCTTCTAAATCTTTCACAGTTGTTATAGCTCTTCTTATTTTCTTTGTTTTTCCCCCACTATTTTTAGCTTTATTTACTTTTCGTCTATATTCTGGTTCATTATCATCAGTTGAAGCTCTTTTTGATTCTCTGTGGATCTGGCTATTTTCTAAAGATACTGATTCTTCTATACTCCCATTTTGATCTTCCAAATCTTTTATAGATCCATTATTGCTTTGGTTACCATTAAACTGTGCTGTTCTGCTCTCAAATTGTAATTCTGATATAAGCCGATTTTGTTTACCTACACGGGTTTGTATTTTATCAATTTCCTGATTTAAAGCTTCCTCTATTATTTGGGCTGTGTTTAGTTTACTAATTAAAAGCTGTTTCTCGTTGATTACTGCTTCCAAAAGTGAACTAAGTTTATTATTTTCACCTTTAATTGTATCGAATTGATCGGTTAGTTGATCGTATTTATTTTTTAGCTTGGTAATTTCACATTTGCTCAACTGCAAAGCTATTTCTGTTGTATTTAGTTGATCTTCTAACAATCTTATTATATTTATATTCGTAGCATTAGTGTAGTTGCTTTCTTCTTCAACTTTTAAAGCAAGAGCATCGATAGCTTTCATTTCATCTTCTAGCAGCTTGTTTCTATCCGCTAAATGTATTGCTTTGTACATTGCTTTATGCTGTGATGATATTGCATCGTTAAGTTTATTATTTAGACATCGCTTTTCTCTTTTTAACTTACCGATATCATTTCGAAGCAACTCAACTTTGTAGATTAGGTTTTTACAGCAACAGCATGGGGATCCAGTGTCTTTAAATGGTTTAAGTTTTACCATTATATCGTTGCTGCTTTCTTATATATCAATAGTAAAATAATTATTTGTACTTTTCCGTACACTTATATATTTAGGTGTTTTTAACATTTATACAACAATTTTCTAATGTCTTATTTTTAAATCCTAAAATTGACATTTTAATTTCGAAAATGTCACCTGTCGAAATAAAATAATATTAATGAGAAGATTGCTAATATCTGACCATAGAAAACCGTAGAAAAAAAGACGAAGTCTAGTTAAATTTTCGAACAGACAAGGGTTTTTTTTATTTTTTGCGATACTCTACATCATCATTTTTTTATTCTAGGGTTTAGGAATGTGTTGAAACTTTAGCTTAAAATTTAAAAAACTGTTTTGTCTTTTCAATTTATATAGCTTTCCAAAGTACTCTCTTACTTATTCGCTCCGTGCGTGACCATGGTAGGGGTACATTGAAACGACGCCAGCGTGCATAGCGGCGAAATATGACAAAATTGGAATATTGGACAAAATATTTTTACGCATAGATTTTATCAAAAAATTGTGCAAATACATGTTGCGTATTTAATTGTGCTAATAATAGCAAAAACAGTGAGTGTAGTTTTTATAGGTTCCCAAAGATTACATATAAATTAGTCAACAGAAAAAGATAAATTCCTGCTATTAATATGAAAAAGTAAATATCACATAATTTCATTTTTACGCAATTGAAATAGGAAAAATTTAAATAATTTACCTTGAATGATATTTCATAAGGCTTCAAGCTAACTGCAGATGACTTTAGCTTTTATATCATAACTTTTACTATTATTGTTTTTAATTATATGCTCTTTTGCGTGAAAAACTTGATTTGTCAGTACTAGATTTTTCCCTTTCTCTTACGTTTGGAGTTGAAAAGATACTTATATTATGATGAATTTTGAGGAACCCAGTTTTTATTACTACATTTATTTTGTACATAAACTGAAAAAATATAGGTAAAAAACTAATTTATTAATAATTGTCAATTTCGCATGTATTTAACAATGTCAAACGTATGTCATATGTTTAACCTGAAAATTGGGACTCCAAAATTGTCAGAAAAAGGCGGTAGGTGTCAGTCAGCGTGTCAGTCACGCACGGAGCGAATACGCGTTAAACATTCTTTACTTTTTTAGTAGCCTCTTCGCTGATTTGATCATACTACATAGGCCAGGGAAATAAGCAAAAAAAGTACCCTGTTTTTGACACTCGTCCGGCCAGGCAAACGACAGTTGTTTTGAGTAGTGTGGACCTCTGTAACAAAAACCTATATGTTTCCTGCAGTCGATTTTTTGGACTAAATTAGTTATTAACAAATTAGGTTCAAAAAACGCAAAATTTTTGCTTTTTTCGTCTATCAGCAAAAAGTGAAGCAATTTAAACAAATTTTAGAAGAAAGAAAACTTATAAGCTATATAAAAACCTTCAAAATGGCGTTCTCAAAATGTTTCTATCCTTATTTGTTGTTTAGAAAGTTGCAAAATAAGTCAAAAATTTTGGTTTTTTTATAAATGTTAATAACTTTTTTGAAAATAAACTTATAATACTTTATATTTCATGGAATAATGTGTCTTGTAGTACTTAAAATAGGGTTAAAATTTCAAAGTGATCGGTCCAATAGTTTAAAAGTTATTTTATTTGTTTATCCCAAATTAACATTTTTTGCAACAATATAAGTCAGAAATTTATACAGTTTTAGAAATTGTAAGGGTTGTTTCTGATAAAAGAAGACTTGTTTTATTATTTACATTAAAAAAAATTAGGAAAAATTAATTTTAAATATTGCAAAATAATTTTGCAAAAACGTGTCGATTTTTTGCTTATAAACAATTAGAATAACTTTTTAAACCATTGACTGTAAAAATATTATTTTTACATATTTAAAAAGCTTGAATTTTTTCACAAATTTAAATAAAAAAAAGTTTGTCCTAAAATGTTTTGATACAAAGTTAGCCTCTTTTTTATTTAATTCATAGCACCTTTGTTTATAACAATTAAGAAATCTAATTAGCGCTATTTAAAAGAATATACATTATAGTTTTAAAGTACTAAATTTTAAAATTATTTCCCATTAATGGAGTCCTCCACAAAGCTTCAAAATGTATGTAAAATCGGTCGGCTTTGAAACTCTCGGGAGCTGAAGGGAGGGGAAGGCGCTATTAACTGTATCTCTGTTCCTTTTTTATGTATTTCAACGTTTCTTTTTGAACTTGTATGTACTTTTGCGTACATTACGAATATGCATTATTTCAATAAATAAATTGTCAAACAAACCACCTAATTTGTTTAAAAACAATTTTTTTAAATTTTTTTAGTAGTATTTAAGTTAAGTTTGAATGTAAAACAGAAGTACTTTGGGTAAAAAGCCACAATTTAAGTTTATAATAAGTTTATTTTTGACGTTTCGATTTCTACTTCGGAAATCTTTCTCAGAATACAGAACATTAACAAATTAATCAAATTTTGTTTTTGTTTATTTGGTTGGAAAATTTTTCTGATAACTCTTCTGAGTGATTAATTAGGGTAAGGAAGCTCAGTAGATCTGTTTTAGTAAAAATTACAAAAAAAAGTTATTGACAAAAATTGTAGACAGCTTTAAACTCCACATTTTTAAATTAGTTACAAACTTACAGGGTGTTCTATAAGATTGTGGATGACCAAACTTATGTTTTTTTAAATGAAACACTCTGTATTTTATTTTAAATTTAAAATCTGCTTCACTTCCACATCACAACAATGTAAAGTTTTATTATGTTATACCGGGTATTTAAAAAGATATAACCAATATTACCAGAAGTACGATATTAGTACTTTTCGATAGTGATATAAAATACAGGGTGTTCTATTTAAAATTACCAAGAAAATAATGTACTTGCATTTTGACTTACCCTGTATTTGATTTAACGAATATTATGAAAACGAATATGTTCTTTAATTTTTAACAATTATTAAAAAATTATGGTTGCAATAGATCAATGGTCCTATACTCCTTTTTAATTATACAGGGAGTTGATACGATTTTCAGGTACTATTGGTTATATCTTTTTAAATACCCGGTATAACATAATAAAACTTTACATTGTTGTGATGTGAAAGTGAAGCAGATTTTAAATTTAAAATAAAATACAGGGTGTTTCATTTAAAAAAAAACATAAGTTTGGTCTGCCACAATCTTATAGAACACCCTTTAAGTTTGTAACTAATCAAAAAATGTGGAGTTTAAAGCTGTCTACAATTTTTGTCAATAACTTTTTTTGTAATTTTTACTAAAACAGATCTACTGAGCTTCCTTACCCTAATCAATCACCCAGAAGAGTTATCAGAAAAATTTTCCATCCAAATAAACAAAAACAAAATTTGATTAATTTGTTAATGTTCTGTATTCTGAGAAAGATTTCCGAAGTAGAAATCGAAACGTCAAAAATAAACTTATTATAAACTTAAATTGTGGCTTATTACCCAAAGTACTTATGTTTTACATTCATGCTTATTTATATGTTTTACATTCATGCAAAATTAAAAAAAATTATCTTTAAACAAATTAGGTGGTTTATTTGACAATTTATTTATTGAAATAATGCATATTCGTAATGTACGCAAAAAGTGCATACAAGTTAAAAAAGAAACGTTGAAATACATAAAAAAGGAACAGAGATACAGTTAACAGCGCCTTCCCCCTCCTTCAGCTCCCGAAGGGGAGCATTTACATACATTTTGAAGCTTTGTGGAGGATTCCATTAAAGAGCAATAATTTTAAAATTTAGTACTTTAAAACTATAATGTATATTCTTTTAAATAGTGTTAATTAGCTTTCTTAATTGTTATAAACAAAGGTGCTATGAATTAAATAAAAAAAGAGGCTAACTTTGTTCCAAATTATTTTAGGACAAACTTTTTTTTATTTAAAATTGTGAAAAAATTCAAGCTTATTAAATATGTAAAAATAATATTTTTACAGTCAATGGTTAAAAAGTTATTCTAATTGTTTATAAGCAAAAAATCGACATGTTTTTGCAAAATTATTTTGCAATATTTAAAATTAATTTTTCTAATTATTTTTTAATGTAAATAATAAAACAAGTTTTCTTCTACCAGAAACAACCCTTACAATTTCTAAAACTGTATAAATTTCTGACTTATATTGTTGCAAAAAATGTTAATTTGGGATAAACAAATAAAATAACTTTTAAACTATTGAACCGATCACTTTGAAATTTTAACCCTATTTTAAGCACTACAAGGCACATTATTCCATGAAATATAAATATTATAAGTTTATTTTCAAAAAAGTTATTAACATTTATAAAAAACCAAAATTTTTGACTTATTTTGCAACTTTCTAAACAACAAATAAGGATAGAAACATTTTGAGAACGCCATTTTGAAGGTTTTTATATAACTTATAAGTTTCCTCTCTTCTAAAATTTATTTAAATTGCTTCACTTTTTGCTGATAGACGAAAAAAGCAAAAATTTTCCGTTTTTTGAACTTAATTTGTTAATAACTAATTTAGTCCAAAAAATCGACTGCAGGAAACATATAGGTTTTTGTTACAGAGGTCCACACTACTCAAAACAACTGTCGTTTGCCTGGCCGGACGAGTGTCATGAAAAAATGTTTATTTCCCTGGGCTAACAGTATTGCTAGAATTTTACTGCCCAACGATTTAAAGGTTGGTATAGATATATTTGGAAAGTGTATTCTTCCCTTCCCTTATATATGGATATTTTGGGTTTTGTAGTCAAATACTGGCCTTTAATTAAAACTTGATTTGTTAAGCTTTCGAGTTTATTTAAATTTTTCTCAAAACATACTAAAAATGAAAACAAAAACTACATTAGACAATTAAGTTGTTGTATCTTCAACAGGCTTACCCTTGTGAGGATTGTACTATAAATTTAGCAGAATTACTTAACATTTTACATTGTATTAATTTACTTTTCTTTTTTCTTTCAGTTATAACTTATTACTATGGTTTCCATGTCTCTTCTATTTTTTATATTCATTTTAGATTACTTAGAGAAACTGTCTATGTTTATGCAAACCTTCATCGTGCATTTTGACATAATATGTAAAAATGTTTCGTTTGCACTTATTAAACACGCAGCAGAGTTTATTTTACTACGTAATTGAGAAGGG